TTCATCTTGTAGTGGTGCGTCAAATGCAACGTAGATTCCCATCCAATTAGATTGAATTTGGTATTGATGACGTGAAAAATAATAACGGTCACTCCATTGAAATGATTCAAACCTAAAGTAACGAGCCATTTTTCAAAAAGGAGTAGAAAGTACAGATATTTGTGAAAAATGTAAGGAGTAGAAGTAAAAATTCGCCATAAAAATAAGTAGTAAAGTAAAAATATCAGAAAAATCTACTTGAGTACAGTAATGAAGTATTTATACTTCGTTACTTCCCATCTCTGGTGTGGAGGTGAAAGCATTATGCTCTGGGCCAGTTTCCAGGAGGACTTTACTGTTACTGGATCCACCGTATTGTAAAAACAGTAAAGACGTGACTCCCAAACATAATGCCTAACTAAAACTGGACAGCTCAGCATCTTTCTGGAAATCAGTTTAGGTAGGTGAAGCAGGCAGAATTAAGGGTGGATTATACTTCTGCAACCACACACATTAAATGTCGCTTGCGACTGGTCGCAAACCAGTTTGGCTGGTATGCTTCTGCAATGTCGGTCTGGAATTTCTAGGGATGCACAGCAGTTTCCCGCCAAAGCGGTAGAGGGAGCCTATTCGAGAACTCGCGAGAACTTATTCGGCAGTGTCGGCGGGAGTGTTTATATTCCAAAACGACATGTCTGAGGCATTGTACAAGTGGTTGTACTTCCTCTATCCTCCTTCAACCTCTATCAACCTTTCGTTGTGGTTGTCCATTGTTGTCATTACTCCTCAGTTTTTAAAAATGGCGCCGCCCCCCCGAATCGAAAAGGACGACCACAAAGACAGCCGGAAAGGCATACCAAGGACTAATCACAGCTGCTTTTTTCTGCGCAATTCCGCTTGAGGTCTGCGCAGGTTTGCAACCTTCCGACGTGCAGTCAGGATTTTTTTGAGGTGCGCAACACACAGAGACAGATTTGCCGGTTGCAGATGGCTATGCGTCAGAAGCATAAATTGGCCTTTAGTAGCAGAGCTTCTGCAGAGAGAGGTGAACTACTGAGGAAAAGTGTTGCTCTAATCAGGAGGAGATTTACTCAAACTTCAAGTCATTTGATGCTTTGGGGTCATTTACTTTGGAGGACAAAAATTAATTTACAACCTTAAATCTTAGTTTAAAGCATAGTTTAAAACCATAAAAAAAATATCACTTCTTCATTACAAAACTTTTTCATTGACATTACCAAAATAGCAGCCATAAGAATTTACCGATATTAGGGCTGGGCGATATGACCTCAAACCAACATCATGATAAATGCCCCATCTCTCTGAAAATAATGGCAGGTGCAACTAATCTATTTTTCATTTATATATTGAATAAATCATGTTACATATTACTTTCTATTAAATATAAAAGTCTTATAACCATTTATGCTTAAACCTTCAATGACATCCATTGAACAGGAGAAAAATGTTACCTCTTGGAAATATTTTTGCACAAAGATAATGGAGACTTTAGCACATCTTTGAATTCAACAGCATGTGGTTGTGCTGGTGGTAAAGGAGGCTGGATGTGTAACTTTGAGTAGTTCAGACAGTTTTTGCTCAACATCCTCTTTGTGGA